TTCTAAAAGTTTTATGGCTTTAGGTCTCACATTCAAGTCTTTAATCCATTTCGAGTTAATTTTTGTGTATAGTGTAAGATAATGGTCTACTCTCATTCTTTTGGATGTGGCTGCCCAGTTTTTCCAACACCATTTATTGAGGCAACTTTCCTTTCTCCATTGTGTGTTCTTGGCTCTCTTGTCGAAAATTAGCTGGCCATAGATGTGTGGGTTTATTTCTGGGCTCTCAATTCTGTTCCATTGATCTGTGTGTCTGTTTTTGTGCCAGGACTATGCTGTTTTGATTACTGTAGCTTTGTAGTATATTTTGAAATCAGGGACTGTGATACCTCCAGCTTTGTCCTTTTTTCTCAGGGTTCCATTGGCTATTTGGGGTCTTTTGTTGTTCCATATATATTTTAGGATTCTTTGTTCTAGTTCAGTGAGAAATGTCATTGGAACTTTGATGGGGATTGCATTGAATCTGTAGACTGCTTTAGGAAGTATGAACATTTTAACTATGTTAATTCTTCCAATTTAAGAGCATGGAATATCTTTCCATTTCTTTGTGTCTTCTTTAATTTCTTTCAACAATGTTTTATAGTTTTCAGTGTACAGGTCTTTCACCTCTTTGTTTAAATTTATTCCTAAATATTTTATTCTTTTTGTTGCAATTGTCAATGGTATTGTATTCTTGACTTCTCTTTCTGTTAGTTTGTTATTAGTGTATGGAAATGCAACCGATTTTTGTAAGTTGATTTTTTACCCTGCAACTTCGCTGTAATTGTTGATTATTTCTAATAGTTTTCTGATGGATTCTCTAGGGTTTTCTCTATATAGAATCAAGTCATCCACAAACAGCGAGACTTTCACTTCTTCTTTCCAATTTGGATACCTTTTACTTCTTTTTCTTGCCTAATTGCTCTGGCCAAAGCCTCCAGTACTATGTTGAATAGGAATGGTGAGAGTAGGCACCCCTGTCTTGTTCCTGGTCTCAGAGGGATGGCTTTTGGTTTTTCACTGTTAAGTGTGATGTTGGCCTTTATTATGTTGAGGTCCTGTCCTGCTGTACCCATTTTATTCAGAGTTGTTATGATAAATGTATGCTGTATTTTGTCAAATGTTTTCTCTGCATCTATTGAGATGATCATGTGATTTTTACTCTTCATTTTGTTAATGTGGTGTATCACGTTGGTGCGGATGTTGAACCATCCCTGCATCCCTGGAATAAATCCCACTCGTTCATGGTGTATGATCTTTTTAACATATTGCTGTATTCAACTTGCTACTATTTTGTTGAGTATTTTTGCATCACTGTTCATCAGTGATATTGGCCTGTAATTTTCTTTCTTTGTGTTGTCCTTGTCTGGTTTTGGTATCAGGGTAATGTTGGCCTCATAGAATGAGTTAGGAAGCTTCCCCTCCTCTTCAATTTTTCGGAAGAGTTTGAGAAAGATAGGTATTAAGTCTTCTTTGAATGTTTGGTAGAATTCACCAAGGAAGACATCTGTTCCTGGACTTATTTTTGGAGAGGTTTTTGATTTTGATTACTGTTTCACTCTCCTCTCTGGTGACTGGTCTATTCAAATTCTCTACTTCTTCTTCATTCAGTTTTGGATTTTATCCAAATTTCTCTATTTCTTCCAGTTTGTTGGCAGATAGCTTTTCATAGTATTCTCTTATAATCTTTTGTATTTCTGAAGTGTCCCTTGTAATTTCTCCTGTTTCATTTCTGATTTTATTTGAGCCTTCTCTCTTTTTTTCTTGGTGAGTCTAGCTAACGGTTTGTCAATTTTGTTTATCTTTTCGAAGAACAAGCTCTTGGTTTCATTGATTGTTTCTATTGTTTTTTTAGTCTCTATTTCATTTATTTCCACTCTGATTTTCATTATTTCCTTCCTCTGACTGATTTTGGGCTTGGTTTGTTCTTTCTTTCCAATTCCTTTAGGTGCAGTGTTAGATTATTTATTTGAGATTTTTCTTATTTGTTGAGGTACACCTG